CGGGCTAGCCGGGGCGGGGAGCACGGCGGCGCCGGGCGGCGATGGCGGCTGACGGGGACTGGCAGGATTTCTATGAGTTCCAGGAGCCTACCCCGAGCCTCCAGGACCAGGAGAACTGTAACGAGAGCTCCGAGGAAGGCGCAGGAGCTGGCGTGGGAGGCGACGGCTTCCCGGCGCTGGTCTGCAGCTTGGAGGAGAAACTGAGCCAGTGTTTTCGCCCATCGGGCACGGGCGCCGAGCCCCCGAGGGTGGCGGTGCGGCCCATCACCGAGTGCAGCCTCTTGCAGGGGGACGAGTGAGTGCGGGCCTGGAGGCTGGCGGGCGGGACCTCCCTGCGCTCGCCTTGCCGCCAACACTGCTCCGCAGTGGTGGTGTTCCCGGCCGGCCGGCCGCAGGCTCCTCCCGGTGCCCTTCTTCAGCCTCCATTGACTGGAGTCATAGCCCCTCCCCGCTCTCTATCTCCTTCCTCCACTCTTTCGGCCTCTGCAGCCTCCCGGAGCTCGCCGATTTAAACGCCAAGTCCCCCGCCTCCCATGCTCCCTTACAACCTTCGCCACTGCCCCTCCTTACGCTTCTTAGAAAGGAAACCAATGTTTGCGTTAGAGAGAACCCTTTAGATCTAAGTTCAGAAAGACAGTACCTCCTCCGGCACGTGTGTAGCTTATTCAGTCAACAAACATTTATTACGCTCATGCTAAGTGCCAGGGGTTGCCTCGCTCTACATTTACGTCTAACGTGGGATACAGCCTAGGAGGACTGATTACTTTGTAAACTAATATTTGTGTGGTGCGATAAGCGCTGTAATGGACATGTATGCAAAATATGGGCGATTTAAAAGGTGTGCGTGAAAGAATCAGAAAAGCCTTCTTAGAGAAAGGTGTGAAAACTCGATCCCGATAGATGTGCAGGAGTTTGTCTGGCAGGCGAAGCATGGGCTAGCATTCTGAGCTGATGAGCGATAACATCCCACGTGCAAAAGTGCAAACATGGGAAGTAGCGTTTATGCTACAGATATTTATTGGACCCTGCCCAGTGCACGCTGTCACAGAGACAAAACAAAGGGCACTGGTTATCAATGGCAAGAATATCACAGTGTGGCAGCATAGGAATGCTTATACAATGGACAGAACCACTTAGCAATGATAAGAAATTCACAGTGGTTTCTGAGAGTTAGAGAAGGGGGTGAGAAGCTTGATTTACTTCCCGGAGCCCAGTGGTATTGCTGATTAAGAGTTGCACTTACAGTCTAGCGTTTTACCTGGGTAGATGGTCAAAGGTGAGCATGAGAGAACCGAATGTATTGTATATATGTTGGAGAGAGGAACTCGTGGAGAGGCTGAAGGTAAAATTATGTGAGTAATGACTAGGGACATGGGTAGGGATGGTTTTCAGAGCTTTGGGGTGGAGAGATTAGATAGGGAAGACATTCTTGAAAGGTGCTTCCTGCTTGAAGTCTTCAGTTTCCTTTGTATACCTAGAGCTAGATCAGGAATGAGGTAGGGAACTTGAGAAGAGTTGGGAATGGAGGCCTGTTAACAGTGCTAAGCAGTGTATATCCTAGCTGTGTTTGGAGACCGTATCTTTTTTTGTTGTTGTTAAGGACTGTTGAGTTGGTTCCAACTTTATATATATATGTATATATCTGGTAGCATAGTGGTTAAGAATCGGGCTGCAAATCTTAAAGTCAGCAGTTCGAAACTACCAGCTGTTCACGGGAGAATATGAGGCTTTGTGCTCCCGTAAAGATTCACAGCCTTGGAAACGCTGTACATGGTCGCTATGAGTCGATTCTGACTCCTCGGCACATCACCACCACCACCATATATATGAACTTGTATAGGGTTCCAAAGAGCAACTGGTGGGTTTGAACCACTGACCTTGCGGTTAGCAGTCCAGTGCTTATCCTACAGTACCACACCATAACTAGAGTCATTTAAGTTTACAGACAAATTTTGCAGAATGTTGTTGCTGTTGTGAGGTGCTATCTCATCATTTCAGACTCATAGTGACCGTGTGTACGACAGAATGAAGTACTTTCACAATCATTGCTGTGTCTGAACCCATTGTTGTAGCCACTGAATTAGTCCATCTTGTTGAGGGCTTCCTCTTTTTCAGTAACCTTCTGCTTTACCAAGCATGGTATGCTTCACCAGAGACTGGTTCTTCCTGGTAACCTACCCAAAGTATGTGAGACAAAGTATCTCAATTTGCATTTCTAAGGAGCAGCCTGGTTGTGGTTCTTCCAAAACAGTTCATGAAGTCTTTAGTATATTCAGTATTCTTCACCAGCTCCATAATTCAAAGGCATCACTTTTTCTGTTTTCCTTATTCATGGTCTACTTTTTGCATGCATGTGACTTAGTGAAATACTGTTTCGTGGGTCAGGTGCACCTTAGTCTTCAAAGTGACATCTTTGCTTTTATACTACTGTAAAGGGTGTTTTGCAACCGATTTGCCTACTGCAATATGTTGTTAAGTGCCCGTAAGTCAGTTCTGACTCATTGTGAACTTGTATATGGTTGTCGGGGTAGGAGCAGGAAACCTAATCTTTTCTCTCAACATGGAGCGACTCTTGGGCTCAAACTGCCAACTTTGTGGCCCGCAGTCCAGTGCTTATCCTACAGAGTTACTAAACTTCCATTGAAATATGAGGGGGCTTCAAAAAGTTCATGGAAACATTTGGTTATCTTTTAGTTCAGTTCCATAATTTTTGAAATTGCTTCATACATTGTTTGATTTTTTTGATTGCTACTTCTCTGGGCATTGATTATGGATACAAGTTTAATGTGGACAATTTTATTGTTTTCTCCATGTATCATGATGTTGCTAATTGGTTTAGTTGTGAACATTTTGGCTTTCTCTGTATTAGAGTATAATCCATAGTGAAGGCTATAGTGTTTGTTCCTCATCTGAAAGTGCTTCAAGTCCTCTTTGTTTTCAGCAAGCAAGGTTGCCGTATACATCTTGCAGGTTGTTAATGAGTCCTGTTCATAGCTCTGGATTTCTTGGCCTACTGTTTTCTTAGTATACAGATAGAATGCATGTGGTGAAAGCATACAATTCTGATGCACACTTTGCCTGATTTTAAACCATTCAGGGTTCCCTTGTTTGGTTCAAATGACTGCGTCTTGGTCTATGTACTGCTTCCTGATCTGCTTGAACACAGTGAAGTGTTTGGAAATTCCCATTCTTTGCAATGTAGTCCATAGTTTGTCATAACCACACAGGCAGATGTCTTTGCATGGTCAAGAAGACACAAGCAAACATCTTTCCAGTATTCTCTGCTTTCTGCAAAGATCCATCTGACTGTAGCAGTAATAACCTTCATTCCAAGAACTTTTCTGAATCTGACTTAAGTTTTTGGCACTTCCTTGTCTATTTATGTAACCAGTTAAAAATTTATCTTTAGCAGTATTTGTTGTTGTTGAGATGGCTCTGACTCATTGAGACCCTGAATAGGGTTTCCAAGAGTGGCTGGTGGATTTGAACCACTGACCTTCTGGTTTACAATCCAGTGCTTATCCTACAGTGCCACACCAGGACTCCTCAGTGATGTTTAATTTTTTCAGTTCATAGTGATCCCATTTGACAAAGTAGAATGACCCCCATAGGGTTTACTAGGAGCAGATTGTAAGGTCTTTCTCTTGACACCACTGGGTGGGTTTGAATCCACTAACATTTTGGTTAGCAGCCGGACACTTAACCACTGCTTCAGCAGGGATCCTTATGCAGAAATTACAAAATTCAGATATCCCTTTGCCACATGTACACTGCTTCTTCTGTTATTAATATCTTGCATTCCTATGGTACATGTGTTGCAACTGGTGAGCCAATAGTGATACATTATTATTAATTAACTGAATCTGCCAGTGGTGGTTCAGTGGTAGAAATATGTTTAGATTCCTAGCCAATGCGCTTCAGATGCAGTTGCCACCTGTCTGTGGGTAGAGGATTGTGTGTTGCTGTAATACTGAAGAGGCTAAGATGAAGTAGGAAGAAAGAGCTGATGATCTACTTCCAAATAAAAATCTCTTGGATCACAATAGTCAAGTCTGCACCCCATCATGGGGACAGAGCAGGACCAGACAACATTTCATTTAGTTTCCATTTGCGTTCACTGTTGGCGCTGTATAGCCTCTTGGGTTTTGATGAATACCCAATGTCAGATGTCATCAGTACATTATCATGCAAAATAGTTTTGCTACTCGAAAAATGCTCTTTGCTCTTCCTATTTATGCCTCCTTCCCTTTCCCTGAACTCCCGGCAACCACTGATGTTTTTATTGCTTCATCATTTTGCTCTAACTATCCTTTGATTGCTACCTCTTTATAATGCTGTGCCTAGGAGCAGAGGAAGGAAGAATTTATCATTGGATTTTATACACACAAATATGCATGCAGTCAACAGCAGAGAACATTTTGAAATCTAGTCCCAAAGAAGGAGCCCTGATGGTTAAAAAAGCTCAGCTGTTAATTGTAAGGTTGTTGCTTAAAACCCGCCAGCTGCTCCTTGAAAGAAAGGCATGGCAGTCTTCTTCTGTAAAGATTGTTGATAAGTGCTACTAAATCAAGTTTGACTCATAACAACCTTGAAGAAGTTTCTGAGGAGCAGCTGGTAGATTTGTATCACTCACCTTGTGATTAGAATTCCAGCGCTTGTCCTGCTTTGTCACACCAGGACTCCTCCTTAAAGACAGCAGCAATTCTACTCTGTCCTACAGGTTTACTCTGAGTCAGAATCCACTTAATGGTGGTGGGCAATGGGTAGTCCCAAAGAGAAAGTAGTATACACACAGACTCATAGATTTACTTGTTCCGTTTTTTTAGGGGGCCAGGGAGTTTATAAAGGGGTTGGGTTGGACTAAAGATTATGGTTAGGATTGTGACTAGTCTTGGCTAGGCGTAAGGCTTCATTTAGTGCTAGGGGTTATGGTTAAGACTAGGGTTAGTGTTGGAGTAAGGGTCAGGCTAGGCTAGGAGTAAGTAAGGCTTGGCTTATTTTTAGGGTTAAAGTGAGATTTAATTTTGTTTTTGTCTTGAGATCTGCATGATTTCCTCTTCGTTTGGAAGTTCTGTAATACATTATTCACAGTTTTACTCTATGATGTGTTGTTGTAGTTGTTGGATACTGGTATCTCTGGTTTCCTATTTCAGTGTTATAGGTTTCTTTTGACTCCTGTGGCTGTGCAGCAGTTTTGGAGATCGGAAAGTGAGCGACCTACTTCTTTTGTTCTTCCCTTCTTTTTAAAATAATGCTTTGCTTATCTGGAGTCTCTTTCGTTTTCATATAAAGTTA